TTCGCTTCCATGGTGGGCGCCGAGCTGCATCTCGTCCAGGTGTCCGTGCACGGGTCGGACGGCACTGAGGCGTCCACGCCAGCAGCCATCACGACAGACGAGCAGACGACGGATTTGTGGTTGCCAGTGCTGAGCACTGATCATGCGGGTGGCACCGTCGGTAGGTATTTCAATTTCGATTGGGTGGCGGAGCTTGGATCTGGAACGGTTTACTGGCCAGATTTGAGGCAATGCCGCGGTGGGGTGGAGCTTGCGGTTGGTTCTGGTGTGTTGTGGCAAGGTGCCAATGGTGGAACGGCCGGCAATTCTCATGGACGTTTCGACAGTGCAAGTGAATCTGCGATTCATCGTGATTGGAAAGTGGGTGATATCGCTACAAATGGAAACTGTCAGCCCAGTCCCACGCCCAGTCCGACGCCCAGTCCGACCCCTAGCCCCACGCCAAGCCCGACGCCGTACCCGACGGCCTTCCCGACGCCGTATCCGACGGCTGACGCCCCGCTATTCGCATGCGATTTCGATGATGCTTCGGATCTTGGCAAAAACACTGCTGGTACGGAATCCACGGGTTTGCGCACGTTCTACGGGTCTTTTAACCAGACGTCTGGCAAAAACAGCGTTGGAGCTGTTTCCTTCGAGAGCTTTTCAGGTGCAGCAGAATTCTCAGTTGGAGCGACGGGCGATACCTTCAGTATGTTGTTGTGGATGGACATGCGGGCACACAATCCGTTTACTTACGGTCGGTCTTACCTGATTGATTTTAGACCTAACGGGCAAGGAGCATTATATTTCGACAGCGATAACACTATTAAATTTAACAGCATGTACGGGAATTGCCAGGGTGAGGCTTCGTGGGAGAGATCATTTGCCTACGCGCCAGCGTTTGACACATGGGTGCATTTTGCTATCGTCTCAGACCCTTCAGGGACGCGCCTGTTCAAAGACGGTACATTGTTGTACGAAGCTCTCGCATCGAGTTGTGGCACATCGTACAGCACCGCTTTGGTCGACAAAGCAGTTCTTGGCTCTTACTTCGGATCAGTTGGCAATTCAGGGTCGTACTTCTTGGATGCTGCCATCGACGACCTCCAGTTTTACAGGTCGGCGTTATCAGCGCAAGAGGTACACGACATCTACGCTGCGACGCCAGCACCGACGCCGGCGCCTATTCCCGCGCCCCTGACGGCCGATCCGACGCCACACCCAACTGCCTTCCCGACGCCTTACCCGACGGCGTTCCCGACGCCGTACCCGACGGCCTTCCCGACGGCCGACCCGACTTCGTACCCGACGGCCTTCCCGACGCCGTATCCGACAGCCTCAAGCCCTAAGGCCGTCCCGGCGACAGTGTCGTCTGCAGTTGGCGATCCGCATCTGCAGAACATTCATGGTGAGCGGTTCGACCTGATGAAGACGGGCAGGCACGTCTTGATCCATATTCCACGAAGGGACGATAAGAACACTCTGCTTCGTGTGGACGGGGACGTGCAAAGGCTGGGTGGGCAATGCGCTGACATTTATCCGTAAGGGCTTCGCTCCATGCCGCCGGCCCCCTGTCTCGGATAATGGGAGATGCAAAAGGTAAATCATGAGGTCTGGGCGCCGCCGTGAAGCAGTGTCGGGACCTGTTTGTTTTTCGACCCTGACCCTACGGATCTACGTGAGGGGTGCCACGGAATTTCAGAAATGTCGCAAATCCCATGTGTTTTTGGACCCTGACCCCACGGATCTGCGTGAGGGGTGCCACCGAATGTCAGAAATGTGGCAAATCCCATTTGTTTTTGGACCCTGACCCCGCCGATCTGCGTGAGGGGTGCAATCGAATTTCAAACATGTGGCAAATCCCTTGTGTTTTTGGACCGTGACCCTGTCGATTGTGTGAGGGGTGCCACCAAATTTCAGAAATGTGGCAAATCCCATGTGTTTTTGGACCCTGACCCCGCCGATCTGCGTGAGGTGTATAAATTTTCACCCACCCCCAGCAATTCAGAGCACACGCTCAGGGCGTGCTAAACCTGCCCGTTTGGGCCTCCCCCCCTCCTGCGGTCCATCAACAAGGAACACTAAGCAGAAAGAAGCAGAACTGTAACAGTGGAAACTGGAAGCTGCAAGTGGTACAGGAAACTGCGAACCTTAGGCCTACAGCCTGGTGGCCCCACAAGGGGGCCGGCGGATTTCCAAGAGCTGAACATCACAGGGTCGTGGGCGAATGTGAAACGCGCTGGCGGTTTTCACTACAGCGCTCAGGTCATCGGCTACCACCGCCCCCGCTGGGTCAAGTTCGGGACAGTCCATGTGAAGGTCGCCCACGGGCGCACACAACAGGGCTTCAGGTATCTAAACCTCTACGTGAAGAACCTCGGTCGCGCCGGGTATCAAGTCGGAGGTTTACTCGGCGAAGATGACCACACCAAGGAAGCGATACCGCCCAAGGCGTGCCACCACCGGGTCGCCTTATAAACAAGGCGTTGCGATGGCTTCTACCTCAATGCTGTACTGAGCGGGGTGCATGGCTTCTCCTCCTGTTCCTCCGCTCCCGGATGAGGCAAATGAGCCAGCATGGCCACATGCCTATTGCTGCCCGGCCACATGCCTATTGCAAGTTTTGGGGTCTGAAGGTTTCTTCGGACACCCATCCATATTCTGATTTGGGTGGACTCGCTGCTCAGCTGGAGCAGCAGGGTTGCCCTCTGTACACGCGCTGCTGCGCCAGCTCCACTGAGACTTCCCGTGGCTTGCCTCTTGCTGCAGCGTCTAGTACAGTGATTATTGTCTTGACGTGTCGGGAAACACGCCTTACACATTCTTTTGAGTCCCATTACGACTTGGCCTCCCCGTTGGCGCGCTGGGGTGTGCCGGCCTCCTCGAAGAGTTAGCTGGCTTCATCATTAGGGGGAAGTCATAGTCTGGGCGCCGAACAGATTTCTTCGCCCCAGGGCCTCAAGGTTTTCCTTTGAGGCATGGGCTGTATGCGCGCGCGCGTGCAGCAAAGGCTTTGTCCAGAGCCGTTCGTTCCAGCCTTCCTCGCGTGCCCCCTATCCACATCCTCCTCCTCCTCCTCCTCCTCCTCCTTCCTCTCTCTTGGCATGTGTCCCCTCTTCCATTTTCCATGTGTCATGCGTTTTGCAGCGTCTGCGGCGGATCCCCAGCCCATCCCAGAGTTGTCCGCTCACTGCGGGTTCTCTTCGATGTCGCTGATGCGGTAACGTGGCCGCGCCTGGAGAGCGCATGTTCTTCCCTTTTCCTCCCTTCTGTCGAGGACTGTGTCCTCGACCTCTGCCTCTTCCACTTGTTTGTTGTTTCCTCTGATCTGTCAGCCACCCCGTTCCGGATGCGCGCGAAGCTCATCTTCATGGTTCTCTTCGTCCCCATCATCACCATCATTAGCATCACCACCATCACCACCACCACCATCATCATCATCATCATCATCATCATCATCATCATCATCATCATCATCATCATCATCATCATCATCATCATCATCATCATCATCATCATCATCATCATCCTTATCATCAACGTCATCCTCCTCTTCATCATCGTCATCACCATCACCATCATCATCATCATCATCAACACCAGCATTATCATTACACCTGAGAAGACCCAATCAGTGGATGATTTGAACATTGATATTATGGATCTTGAGATCGATTGTAAGATCGATAATGAGATCGATATTGTAATCGATAGTGACGACGATTGTAAGGTCGATCGTGAGACCGAGAGTGACATCGATTCAATGAGATCGATAGTGAGATCGATCGCGAGATCGCTCATGCGATCTCTAGTGAGATCGCTTGTGGGATTAATAGTGAGATCGATTGTGAGATCGATGGCGAGATCGATCGCGAAGTCGGTCATGAGATCGATGGTGAGGCCGATCGATAAGAAGATCGACCAGGAACCCGGGAACCCGGGAACCTCGCCGCCCTCCGAAATCGGCCCGGAACCCGGAACCGGGAACTCGGGAACCCGGAACCAGGAACCTTGGGAACCCGGGAACCCAGCCTGCCACCAACATCGGCGACCTGTGGGCGGCGCAGCCTGCCTGTGCCAAAGCGGCTGCGTCTGTAGGGCTCATGCCGACTTTTCCGATTGCGGTTTTCCGCCGGTCCGAATGAGATCGGTCGCCGATCCGATTTGACGATTCGATTTTATAGGCTTAAACCACATCCGCCGACCCCTCTATAAACTACTGCGCCCACGAGTGCATTCCACGAGGCTTGTCCGATTCCTGAGAGGTTTTTGGGGACGTTTGGGGGCTCTGTTCGGGCTCCCTGGGAGCTTCTTGGGGCGTGTTGGGGGCTTCTTGGGGCAACCTGGGGGCGTCTTGGGGCCGAAGGCTGGAAATGTGGGTTCGGGTTCCCCCCGTGGGCCCCCTTTGGCGCCGTCCGGGGGCCCCTGGGGCCGTCATCGGGGCTTCTTTGGCGGTCTTGGGACCCATGTGGGCCGTCTTGGAGCTGTCGTAGTGGTCTTTTGGGCCGTCTTGCACGGTGTGAAAGCGCAAGAAGCGAATATGTTTAAAATATACGTTCTCCCAAAGGGGAATCGGGCAACTTTCACTTCTTCGGTGCCTTTTGGGAGACCTCTTGGGGGCCTCTTGGGTGGGGCGTTTTGGAGGCACTTTGGGCCGTCTGGATGCCATCTTGGGCGTCTTGGAACGATCATTCGACGATTCGGGGCCCTCTTGGATCGTCTTGGGGCCCACTCGGGGCCCTCTTGGCCCGTTTTGGGGCCTTCTATGCTCCCATGGCGCGTTCGTCCGGGGCCGGGGGGGGTCAAATCTCCAGTTTGGGGTCCCTGGGGGGGGTTTATGGGGGGGGAACCATCCCACACGCCTAGAGATTCATAAGGGGTCGGCGGATTCTGGGCTCTCCTGCTTCTGCCGCAGTGCTCATGGCCGCCAGGTGTGGTTCCATGGCTCGTCGTCGTCGTCGTCGTCGTCGCCGTCGTCGCCGTTGTCCGCCTCGTCGCATTCCACGACTGCGCGGCAGGCGGGTTGAGCGCGCGCACCTGCCCGGGGCCCTGCTGATCTCCCTGCTGTTCACCACCTGCCTCGTGAGCAGCATCAGCGGCCTCAACCGCGTCCACGTTCCGATGGCCGGCGGCTGGCTGGGGAGGATCAGGGGCAACGACACGGATACGGGGACTGCCCAGGGGGGGGTCAATCGCCGATATGTGGGCGATGTATCGCCGATTCCGAGCCAATGCCCCCCCTGAGCCAGTCCCCCTGTGGGAAGTGAGAGGGGGCGGTCTATTCAGAAGGCCCAGAAGTCCTCCGGCCCAAGCCTCCCCCGAAGACGCAGCAATGCCTCAGAAGGCCGGAGGGCTTCTGGGAAGCCCCGCCGCCTTCTGAGAAGGCCTTATCCTTCTCGCTTCCCCCCCTCGCTCGCCGCCGACCTGAGACCCTCAGAGGAGCTGGGCGCAGTCGGGCCGGCGTAATCACGACGAGGATAGTCGGTTCCAGAGCGCTCCGGAGCGCTATGGAGCGGCCGCGGCGCTCCATGTACCATTCGGGCCTGCTGGCTCTTAGAGGCCCTGAGCTACCACTGCCTTGCCCGGCTTTGTCTCGTCCCGTCTTCGTCTTTCGCAGGGTCCCAGACTTCAGCGTCGCGAGCAGAACAGTGCAGACGTGCTCTCCCGCTAATTATATCTCGGCGTCTGATGCCTTTTTTGGGGCCTGGAGGCTTACGAGCGAAACACTCGCGGTGCATAGCTGCTCCCGAGGATGGTGCCGCCCTTTTATCCGATCTCTGCGCTGATGTCTTCGGGGTGTATTCAAGCATATCACGTTCCGCCTGTAGGAGACGGCTGTCAACCGATGCCAAGCGATGCTATGAATGAGCATGCAGGAGTAAGAGGATAACGAACGATGACAAGCTGAGCACATCTCGACACGTGAGCGCCTTAGCTCCAGAGCCCAGTTCAGCGCACCGTGAAAGAACCACGACGCCGAAGATCTGGGGGAGATGCAAGCGGTCAGGCCGCGAGACTGCCTCGGGGATATCGCCCTCCGCCGTTCTTCTTCCGCGGCCCCCCCGTCGGTCCTCCGCCGATTCCCTCGGGATTCTCCGGGTCAACCGCAGGGACGGGAGGATAGAACCGTGCTTCGTGGTTTGGGCCAGAGCGTTGCCCTTCTCTTCAGAGGGCGGCGCGGGAGCGCGAAGATCTGTCGTGCTGCATGCAGTGCGAGATGCGAAGTCGGCGATCTGTATTCTCCACTGGCCTCGCCTCCTCGAGAGGCTTCAGATGCTGGGACTCTTGGCGTCCAGCTTGTGAGCTGCGGAAGCGGGAGCATTGCCAACTCAGCAGAGCCAAGCGTGAAACAGAGGTCTTGCGACGAGAATTTGTGCCTGCGTCGGCATTCTTGTGGGAAGACGAGTCGATGAGTCGTCGTACACCTATACATGCACTTCCTGTGATTCACTCGTTTACGCCACACCGCCGAGTCCTTCCGGGCTTTTTGGGTGCGTTGTCGAGAAAGGTTCGTTGTGCTGCGCTTGAGGGAGCTTATTGGGAGCTCTGGTGGGCCTGGTGTGGCCCCTGGGTCGTCATGGCGCGTGTGGAGGGCTCGTGGAGCCTATTTTAAGGGTGCTTTCTGCGCCCTCTCCGGCTGGTTTGGAGCTCTCTGTGATCCCTGTGGCACACCAGAGGTCTGACTCTTGACTCTCACCAGAAAAGCCACCGTCGTCCTTGACCTCTTCGGCCTCGCCCTTCTCCCTCCTCCTCCTCCTCCTCCTCCTCCTCCTCCTCCTCCTCCTCCTCCTCTACCTCCTAGGTGGCTCGCGGCGGGCCGAGCCGTTTTGCCCCGCGGCGGGGCACGGCGGGGCCCGAGCGCGATAGCCCCCAGCGCCGCCCGTGGTGGGGCGGGCGCGACGGCGGCTGCCGACTGCTGGGGCGGTCGCGGTCGCCAGCGTGGCATCGGCGCGCAGCGCCGCAGATGCATGCGGATGCGGGCGGGCAGACAGGGCGCGGGGGCGTACCTCGTCCCGACGCCTGCCAGCACTGCGGCTGCCGCAAGAACGAATCCTGGTGGTCGTGGTGCTGCTGCCACTGCAGGCAGCCGCTGGTCCTCGTCGGCAACGGCCCGCCTGGCCCTGGTGGCGCTGGCGGCAGCGGCGCAGCTGGCCACGCGCGCAGGCCGCCGAGCATAGGCGCTGGAGGCCGAGGCGGCCCGCCCGCCCCGCCCTGGCGTGAGCGTGGCGACGCGGGCGCCGCGTCTGCCAGCGCGCGCGAGCCTTCCGCGGGCCGAGGCAAAGGTGGCCGCCGCGCTCGCGCGCCGAGGGGAACACCAGCTGGAGCCGAGGACCCTGAGGAGGCCCAACTCGCCCAGCTGGTGGCACTGCTTCGTCTCAGCGGCGAAGGACCAGAGGTGGCCAAGTACCAGGCGCTGCTCGACGCGATCAGGGCTCAGAGAGCAGCCAGGCCCATGTCCGTCGACGAGGCTGCCAAGGCCAAGGACGCAGCGGCGGCGGCGCTCCAGGCCGCCTTGGAGAAGGCTGAGGGGCTGCAGCAGCAGCAGCAACTGGACGAGGCCAAGGGGTGCGTGGCCGAGCGCTCCGAGGCCCTAGCGCGCGCCACCGAGGCCTACACGGCGGCGGTGCAGGCGCTGGCGACGACGGTGGCATTGCAGCCAGCGGCCACGCCCACAGTGCCGAAGCTCAGCATCTCGGCCGTCCTGGCTGGCGAAACGGCGTGGTCGCTGGGCGACGAGGGCCTCTTCGGCCTGGAGGAGCTGGACGGCTACGTGGTCGAGGACAGCGACCGCCAGGAGGCACGGCGTCGGCGACAAGACCTACAGGACAAGTTCGGCACCCTGGCACGCGAGGCCTTCGGCCAGATCAAGGCGGACGCCCAGAAGCTGGGGGAGGCTCATCGTGCGCAGCGCGAACGCCTCAATACCAAGAAGCGCAGGACCGACGGGGCCGAGGACGGCGACCCTGCTGCCGAGCGGGCGGCCGCAGCAGCGCCGGCGGCGGCACGCGATCGAGGCGGACGCCCCAGCGGCAGCCGCGGTGCCGCCCGCGGCCGCGGCCTCGGCGACGGCTGCGGCAGCGGCGACCGAGGCCTCCGGCTCCCCGCCACCCTCGCCAGCCCCAGACGTCCTGGCACAGGGGCGGGCGCGCTTGGCGGCAGCCGGGAAGGCAGCAGGGGGCACTCCGCCAGCCAAGGCAGCCCCGCCAGCAGCAGCAGCCAAGGGCTGCGGGCGCAGTGGCGGGGCGACAGCGTGAGCTCCGCTTCGCCCGACGCACGAGGCGTGGCCTGCGCCGTCGTGCGCCTGCGCTCGCGGCGCCCCCAGGCGACCTGGGCGGGCGCGCCAGGCAGGCAGGCTGCCCCTGCAGGACAGCCAAGGACCAGGACCCCGAGCTTAGGCGAGCGCTCGAGCTGCAGTGGGCCCTGGAGCGGGCCCTGACGACCTTCACAGGGCACTGGATCGAGGGCCCGCAAGTTTTGGATGACGACAGAGACGCGCTCCACTGGCGGAGGCACTGCGTCCCGTTGTCGCTCACTACCTCTCGCACCCTGCGATGGCGCCTCTCGTCCACGAGCGCGCCCAGCATGACGGCCGCGGGGGCGTGGCCACGGCGCAGCTGGACATGGCGATGGAGATTTGCGACCAGGCCTTCAGACAGCGTCGCTCCCACAGGATGCGCTATTGGGCATGGCTGCGCATGCTGGAGGCGCACGACTACGACGAATGGGTGCGCCAGCGTGCTGAGCATGCCGAGGCCATCGCGAGGGAGTCGGAGGACCTGGGCAACGGCCGTGGCATCCGCCACGTTATGAAGCGCACGGAGCTGGAGGTCAACTCAGGGGAGTGCGAGGCAAGCCATGCCGTCTTCTACGATCACGAGCTCGTGTCGGTGTTCGGCTACTCGGGGGAGTGCCACGACGCCAACAGGACCTCACCTACCTGTTCTACCACGACCAGTCCGCCCACCACTGCGACCTCTGGCACGAGTCGCACGCGAGGACGGGGCCGTCGAAGCTCGAGACCAGGGGCCGACTCCACTATGGCTGGCGCTGTGAGCGTGGAGGAACCTAGCGGCTCCGTGGGGCCGACAGGGGGCCCCACAGTCGCAGCGCCGACGCTCAAGGAACACGTCGGTGGCGACGAACTCCTTCGGCCAGAGGCTTCACCCCGCAGCGTGCGGCCCTCTTCGGAGGTCGAGCCACCTCGGGGTTCCCGCAGCGCGCGGCCCGCTTCGGAGGTCGAGCCGCCTCGGGCATGGACTGGAGCATCATCCCCTCCCCGCAGCGTGCGGCCCTCGTCAGAGGTCGAGCCACCTCGGGGCACCCGCAGCGCGAGGCCCTCCACGGAGGTCGAGCCGCCTCGGGCAAGGACTGGGGCATCAGCCCCGAGGGGCAACTGCGACACCATGACGATCATGACGGTGAATGTCACGGGCCGGGGATCCTGCCTCGAGCAGCTGGAGCGCGGCCACGTCGACGACGGGGTGCAAGCCATCTTGCTGCAGGAACACCGCCTTCACGACGACCTACGACTTGCAGCGGCAGTGCGTGCAGCCAAGCGAGCGGGCTGGGTGGCCGACCTCATCCCAGCGTCCGTCACGGACGTCGGCGGCGTGTCCTCAGGAGTGGGGATACTGGTGCGGCCCTGGGTGCGGATGCGACGCGTCGAGTTCAGCGACGACCGCATCTCCATCCGCTGCTCAGCTCGCATGGGCTTCTGGATGACCTCGCTGGGCTCGACGGCGGGCGCGCTCATGGTCTCGGCGTACTTCCACACTAACCAGGATTTGAGCGACTTCAACCTGGACATGCTCACCAACCTGGGCTCTGTCATCAGGGCCATGCATCGCCCCTTCGTGGTGGGGGCCGACTGGAACATGATACCCGACGTGGTGAACGAGGCCCACCTGCTCCCCGCAGTGGGGGCACGTCTGGCGTGTTCGGGGGATGCTACCTGCATTGCGGCGACCTCGGCGCGGAAGCTCGATTACTTCTGCGTGGGCACGCCCGTCCAGAGCGTCAGCAGGCGCGACCAATTCGACGTCGGGACTCACCGCGCCGTCCTCCTGCAGCTGGCACTGCCCAGGCCTGGCGGGCTGGTGGCGCGGGTGCACAAGGCGCGCGCT